CCCACGCCCCAGCCCCAGCCCCAGCCCCACGCCCCACGCCCACTCCCCCACGCCCACGCCCCACGCCCCACGCCCCACGCCCCAGCCCATCCCCCAGCCCTTCTCCCAGCCCTTCCCCCAGCCCATCCCCCAGCCCCAGCCCCAGCCCTTCACCAAGCCCAAGTCCCAGCCCATTTGTCTTGTAGGCCTTGCTGTATCTATGGGATCCTTTCATGTTCTGTGTGCCATTGTATTCTACACAGCTCAATGACTGTGTAGCACAATGTCCCTTGTTCAGAATCTGACCCACCTCCCTCCACCCCTCCATTGTCCAGGCCGTTCCCTGGCGGCACATCCCTACTACCGACCCCTACGTCCACCCCTTTTGCCGGGTGCGCATGCTCTGCGACAGGGCAGAGCGGGAGCGTGAACACAAATCAACCTGGCTGTGGGCAGCGAGTAGACAGCGGCTTCCTGCTGCCCATCAGGCTCTGCTATGTGGCAGATCCGAGTTCCTGCGCCACAGCATTCGCGTCCACGGCCTATCCTGGGGCCGCATGGCAATTGTGCTGAGCGGGAATGTTTTAGTTTGAGAGATTTCATCGGCACAGCGGCCTGCATTCCATCTTCAGCCCTGTCATTCTTCCCCAGAATGAAGGTGAGGATGGTGGTGCTGTCTAGTAAGCCTTGCGCGAAGCTTCATAATGAGCACAGTGTGAATGCAAAAGGGTGACCATTGCCGCAGGTTTCGGTTCTCCATGCAGAGATAGCAAGATATCGTGCAGCAGCAGTGCACAAATCCTTCGAACACATCGAATGCTGAGTGCAAACCTGGGAAAGATACCGGGAAGTTTCACCCTCAATGGCAACAACCCTCCTTGCACTCGTCCCCGGGGGTGGGGGGTAGATAGTGGTCTGGATAGAATATAGGTCTCCCAGAAGAAAGGGGTGTAAATATGGCCCGATGCGCGCATGCCTGACTCAGTTCCTGGTCTCTGGCACAGCGTATGCAAGAGCAGTAGTCCCATTTATCGATCGAGGTGTCATATAAAGCACTTCTCGGACGCCCCCCCACCCTCTTCTGGATCGACGCCTCCGCGTCTACACCCTTTCAGTGCCTCACCCTCGCACAACAACCCACTTCGACGCAATGCCATCCGACTTTAATGCCTCGGTGAGTCCCGGAGAACGCTGGGAAGTCGTAATATAGGACTACCGCGGAGTTGGGCTGTCGTCTGTTTGGTGGCTGCATGGACGGGATCCGGCCGCGTCGACATCTTCAGGGTGTGCGCGACCCGTCGCCTTGGGGACATACTTTCCC